TGTGAACACTGAGGCTCAGGAGAAGGATGAGGCTGGCCCCAGGCTAGCAGTTTTGCTTTGTATTATGCCACTCTGTTCTAAAGCTGCTGTGGTCCCCGGCTGTTCACAGTGTCTCAGAGCCCCTGGTTTCCACCTCAGCTACGCTGGCATAGCCCTTGTGTTGCTACTGGCATTCCCGTATTCTGAACGCAGTATATTCCAGAAGCCTCAGCCTCCTCAGCTGCTTCCTGACCTCTGCTGCAGGTGTGTGGTGCCCACAGGGGAAGCAACAACAGCTAACTCATCCTGTGAGCCTGTTTCCAAGGTATTTTCCATCCACCATCTCACTAAATGCTCACCACTGAAGTACTTTTATTATTCCATTATAGAACCAGGGAAAATGAGGCCGAGTGAAGGGAAATGGAGGTCCAGGCCAGGCCCGGCACCCAGGTCCCCCGAGGATGAGCCCAAGACTGACTGAGCCTGGAGGATCTTAGTTGGGATGAAGGGCGTGGCTGTCCTATCAAGTTTGGGAAGTGATTTACTTCAAGTCTCCCTGGGTAGAGGAGGCTTCTGTCCGAGAAGTGCTGTCTCCAGGTCCATGCCTGGGCTGAATTTGCTGAGGCCCTGGTGACATTCCTCATGCCACAGAGACCCTGCTACACTCTACTCCTTCCTTCAGACTGCAGTGGTCCAGTCTCCTGACCCAAGCCTCCCTTAGGTTCATTTCTTTCTGTCTTCTCAACCCAGGCCCTTTCCACTGTTCCTTTTTCCCCTCTTCTCTCTAGCACCCTATCTCCACGTCCCTGCTTTCTCTCCACCCTTCCCTAACTAAGTATGTTTTTTTTTTTTTTTTTTTTTTCTGTTTTCCCGACCTCATGCATTCACTTCCCCAGCCCTTGGTCAAGGTCCTGCTTGTGTGGCAGGGCCAACTATCTCCTGCCACCATTCCGAGGAGATGGGAGGTAAACAGAAGCCAGGAAGGGACACCAGAAGATCCCATGATGCTCCAGCTCTCCTTGTCAGGAACTTGATCTTCAGGTTGGAAATGTTATTCCTCTTTATTTGTAACTGATCAGGGAGAAAGAATTGAAAAATGAGAAAAAGATATACATGCATGACACACAAACACACATACACATCACACCCACACACCACACTACACCCACACAAACACATCACACACACTCCACAGCACATACACATATACATACACACATCACTCACACACATACCACACAAACACATCACACACACACTATACTATACACACACCACACACACATTCACATCACACACACATCATGCCACACAAACACATCACACACACACACACACACTACACTATACACACCACACACTACACACAGAAATGAGGGAGAAACAGAGGAATTGCTTCCGAAGACCAGAACCAACCAACGTAAAAAAGGAATTTTGGAAAATAATTTTATTTTAGTGTCATAACGGTGGCCTGCCTGCTCACCTGGGTCCACGGCTGTGTGAACAGCAGCTGGAATCATACCCTGTGCCCGTCCTACCCGTTCTGCTTGACATTTGCCCAGCACTAGCATCTCTAGGACAGAGGGAGGAGGGGTTCTAGTGGGCTCTGCACAGCCTGAGGTCCCCTGTCTCCCTTAGCTCACTGGTCTGGCAGGCCCAATCTCTCCCTATCTACTCAAAGCCCAGACATGGCCAGGCTGTTCCTACCCTGTAGCATCTGGCAAAGGTCCTCTTGCATCCCCAACCCTTCCCAACTCCTCCCTGTCCCAGAGCTTGCCACTTGGCTTCCCCATGTCTATTTGGTCATGCAAATCAGCCCCTTCTACAGGTCCCACTTGGTTATTCACTGGCAGTGGAGACCTACCAGAGAGGGCAGGGCTGTGGGCTCAGATGTGGAAATACCTGCTTGCAGATTTGCTCCCCAGAAGAGACGTTCTTGGTCTCTCTCCATCTTCTTCGCTCCTTGTGTTTTGCTGTAGTTTGGTTCTTAAGTGTCCCCCAGGGGCATGGTCATGTTTGTGGTTTGCAGAACTCACTTTGGCTGCAGGGGAGAGGACAGACTAGAGGGACAGGGATGTGGCTTGAAGAAATTTCCCAGCAGGCCTGAGCCAAGGAGAGCCACAGAGACAAGAGGCCAGGAAAGTGAAAAGGAGCAGTAACAACTCCAGCGTGAGAGGAAGCTAGCAGAAGGAGGCTCCCCCAGCAAAGCCCAGGTCCCAGTGGTGTGTAACACAGCTGCACAACACTTACTCCAAACATGGGCAGCTCCCTCTGCCTGGCAAGGGTCATACATACCTCCTGGTGATTGGCCATGCACCTACAAGGTCTCTGCTCTAGCCACCTTTTCAGCCTACAACCAAATCTATGCATAGAAAATGAGGTCATTCCCATTATCTATGCCACAATGATATAGGCCCTGGCCCTCACAAGCCAGGTAATTCCCCAAATGTTCCCTGCAAGAGAAGGGGGGGGTGTAAATTCAGCACATGGAAACACCAGGGTCAAGTTCATAATATCTTTTATTAATATATTATGCTACAAAAATATTTTTGGCAAAATAACATTAATAGCATCTTTCTTTGTCTTCTATTATACTCTTAAAGAACTCTTCATGACAATTCACAGGGGTGAGGGAAGAGGTGATAAAGAACACCACAAATATGGTGAGAGCTAAAGCCAGCTTGGTACAGTGAGGCACAATGGGACAGCCAACAAATCTGACACTCCGTGCTGGACGAAGGTTAAGGCCAGCCTCCCCACGGAGAGCCAAGAGCTCCACCCACCCAGCCTGGCAACCAGAGAGACTCCTTTTTAAGAGTCCCTGGTCTTTCACACTAGGCACCGTAGACTTGGATCCCATTCAGAACTACATTCCTCAGGGCAGGTCTTAGAATGGAGGGAGCCTTTAAGTAATGCTTTCTTGTCTGTCACATGCTCCCATCATGGCAGCCTGCGGGGCCTACATGGAAAGCTGGGCTAGGGAAGGGTGGAACCTCACCTTCAAGGAGACCCAAGATCATATACAGAATTTCCTCCTGGCCCCAGGAAACTCTTCCTATGGTCCGTAAGGAAATGGAGGCTCAAAGAGGGGCAAGGGCTTACCCAAGGTCAGCAAGCAAAGAGAAGGCACAGCACACCTCCCGAGGGGAAGATCCCAGTCTGCCTTTGGAGACAGGCTGTGAGGGGCTGACATTCCCTGAAAAGGGCCAGGAAGGGGGCCAAGGGTCCTTGTAAGCCCTCTCTTCCCTTCCCTAGGGTTGGGCACAGACAGAAGTGCTCTGGGCTGGAGCCATGGGGCAGGGTTTCAACCCAGACCTCTCCTCCCCAAGAGGTCCCCTGCCCAAGGGCTGTAGGCATTTCTGCCAGTTCATGGCAAGTCTGGCTGGGCTGTGGAAGAACAGGGGAGGGGGTGTAGGGAGGCTTGACTGAGTCCTGAATTTACCGGCTTAGACAGCCAGCCAGGGTGATATTTTTGGCTGCTTAGATGAATTTTTGGAAACATAACAACGTTTAAAGAAGTTGAGTCTTACCGAGCCAAGGGGGCACCTCCATGTCATTTACAACAGTCCTTTGCCAAGACTTCCAGCTGGCTACCACACCTTTAGCCGGCGGGTCTTGGGGCCTTGCATACCATGCTTTTCCCTCCAGTCAGAGAACTCTGCCCTCAGGTGCGGTCCTTTACCGGGTGGGAGGTGGAGGTTGTCTCAGAAAGAGAGCCAAGGCTGTCTTTCTTCTTTCCTAGCTCCAAACTTCTCTTCCTCCCTTGATCCTCTCAGTGCATCTACAGAGCATCACCTTTGTGTTGAAGGACACAAAGAAACTGACACATGACCCCACCCCATTAAATGGTTGGCATTCCCAACAGGGAGCAAACTCCTATCTAGACACCCCCAAGTATGGAATGTGGGCATGGTACTGGGTACTGGGACTGCACAAAGGGCTCCAGGGGGACATCTTGGAGCTAGTGCCACATGGGCTATCCTGACAGGATAAATGTTTGGAAGAAGGGAAGAGAGCTTCCCTCAGGGAGCATCATTTATAAAATATTATGCATATTTTAGAAATAACAAATATGATTCCATCTGTCAGGTCCGGGGTGGGAAGGATGAGAATGGCCAGCAAGGTCAGCTGAGCCAGGTTATGGAGGGTCTGGAATGCCCAGTGGAGAACCTGGTGATTATCTCATGGGCATCACTACCCCAATTCTGGTTTTTGCCACCCAGAATGTCTTCTAAGCTACAACTCCTGAATAGAATGTCACCTTTTTCAAGACATTCTCTTTTGGTAGCAGTTCTTGTCTTTGGGATCTGTTGGGACAATAGATAGGACAAAGTACCTGAGCTGCCAGGCTTGCCCAAGGCTAGACGAGGCCAGGAAGTAGCAGGTGACTGACTACAAGTGAGATGAACATTCTGAGTCACCCTCAGTCCCCACACGGCAGACTCTGGATCTTTGACCCAGGGGATTGGTCCCTGCACCTCCCTCCCTGATTCTTTTACCCTCACCACGTGCTGGTCACTTAATTTGCTGGGCTTCAGGCCTTCCATCTTTCTGTCTGCCTCAAAGTCAAAATGAAAGTCCTAAGAATACTCAAGAAACTCTCAAAGGGACAGGGCTCTGTGTTTTGTTTTATGAGTCCAGCCAGCAAGATATGAAGTCTGAGAAACTGCTGATGGATTATTGGCATTTTCAGAGCAGGACAAGAAGTTGAAGTGACCTAGCCATACATTCTGTTTTTGTGCCTAAGGTCTCCTGGGATGTAGGCCAGAAGCTGAGTTTGCTACTTACTCAAACCCTGGCTTAGTAGAGATTTCCAGGGACCAGGAGACTTTGGCCCTCGATGTCTGACCAACAAATGATCTTTTCTAAGTCCATGCCAACCTGGAAGTTTGTTGATCTGTTGGCCTAGCTAGCCTGCATGCCCTTCCTTCCTTCCTTCCTTCCTTCCTTCCTTCCTTCCTTCCTTCCTCCCTCCCTCCCTCCCTCCCTCCCTCCCTCCCTCCCTCCCTTCTGTTATTTTTTATATAGGGTCTGGTTATATGCTCAAGCATTTTTAGAACTCACTATGTATCCCAGGCTGGCTCAAACTTACGATGCTCTTGCCTCAGCCTCCCAAGAAGAGTCATTACAGACATGTGCTTCTAAGCATGGCACATTATCTTTCTTTAAAAACTTTAAAGTGGGGCTGAGGAAGAGAGTTTGGAACACCTCCTTCACTTCTAGTCTTCCTTAAGGGATCTGGAAAGACAGTGGCCTGACATTGGGGCTGGGACAGCAGTAGCCCAGGATGGCCCCACTAGTCCCATCTTGAAGGTGAACTCTTCTGGGCCCAGGAGGGTAGGTATAATTCAGCCTGTATGTGTAACCCTGGCACTGTGCTTTCACAGTGATTACATGCTGCATTAATTCACCATTTTGGCCCCACGCCTGGCACAGGTCTGGGCACACAGTCAGGTGCCTGGACTGTTTCCCCAAATGCTTCATCTTTAATTAACCTCAAGCTTGATCTCCATACATCTCATGCCATACTCTGCCCCAAACAGGGGAATCTGGCCTGTGTGTTTCCAATTCCTTTACACTTATCTCATCCCAATAGCGCTCTGCACGATCCGTTTGATGTCTAACTTCTGAGCCTGCTTTAAAAGTCAGCTAAGCCCCTTCTCGCTCAGCAATAGGAAGTCACATTTTTTTGCCAAGGATAAACTGACTCCAGTCCTGGTTGAGGTCAAGTTCAGTTTACAGTGTGGTGCCCATGGGGCTGGCGGGACCCTGTGAAGCAGAGTTCCAGAATCTTGCCAGGTCTCAGGCTAAAACCTGTCCACTGGGGCAGAGCTGGAAAGAATTCTGCCGCCTGCCAGGATGCCTGTGGGACCCCTGACTATCCAATGAGTCGTCCAGAATCCTGCATCTCAGAAGGGAGAAGTCTGCCAACCTTAGAATGGCAATGATGCAGCCAACCAGGCGCCCATCAAGCCTGCCAGGGAAACCCATGTGCAGTGAGGTGAGAGAACAGGACTGGAGTCAACATGCCTGGCCCAGCTATGCCACCTTGGAGAAGTGTCTTCTCTTTCTGGACCTTAGTATTACTCTTACTGTTATTGACAGGTGAGGGGTCTTTCCTGCTGTCAGGATCCAGGACTCCTTAAACAATGAATGAGCCACAAGGCCAGCTTTGAGCCATGGGCTGAAATTCAGCCCACATTGGCCTACCATGTCCCCAGTCAACTCCCTGCCTGCCCACTACCATCCTGCTGGAACCCCCTGGCTGCAGGAACCAGCAGAGGGAGCTGGTGAAACAGCCTCCTTGCCTGCCATGGGAAGCCTGGGAGGGTTCCAGTTTGGGAGATCTGCCTCCCCTGGCACTTCTCCAGACAGGAATAGGGGCAGAACACAGTCCATGAGACAAGGATAGTTTTTCTATCACACTGATCTGGGGCGAGGGAGTAAACCTTGGGTGGATCCTTCACCTTCTTTTGGGGGTTCAGTGTCATCATTGAAATGGGGGTCATCATATCTCACAGCACTAGTCTGAGGATCTATGAAGAAGGGAGAATGCAAAGAACCTACCCTGCGGCAGGCTTCTGGCCCATGGCCCTCTTTACCATCGTGATTACAATAATCGGTGGCTCCTGAACTCCATCACCCCTAAAACTGCCCTGTGCCCACTCCTGTCCTTCTGCCCAGCTCCCTTCATGCAGCTATGGTTTTACCAGCCTCTCTTAAATGGAAGCTGGACCAGTACCACTGGAACATAGATTACCCACTTGCTTTGTGTCTTTGGGTAAACCCCATTCACTTTTGGGTCTCAGTATAGCTATCTGACCACGGGACTGGGTTCACCTGCCTCAGCACCAATCTCCTACTTTGATGGAAAACCTCACCATGAGCTCCAGAGGGCCAGTCCACGGACACTCAGGACTTCAAAATAGCAGCATTCTTTTTTTTAAAAACTGTCCCTCCAGGGCCTGCACACATCCAGGGATGGGGAGGATGGTTGGCCACCACGCCTCTGGCTATGAAATTCAGCTTCACAAGAGCTGGGGCTGCCTTTCTGCCTGCCCTCAGAGGTACCTAGAGTGGGAGAAGCCAAGCCTGACTAGGAGGCGTGGGGCCAATTCAAAGCCACAGTCCACACAGGTCACAGAGGTCACGGGAACCTGGGCTCCTTCCCTGGGTTGCTGTTGGGGCTAACTCAGGGACTATAACATAGGCTACATAAAAATAGTTTTTATCAATAGAATAAATACATTTTCTCTTTTAATATGGACACATATTTTACAAAAGAGCCCCATAGCACTATGGGAAATTAAGACCTTCTACAAAAAAGAAGATGTAATTTGGATACAATAAAGCTCTAGTGTTTTTAAGGTCCCTGTCCTGTGTGAACTGCCTTGAGGTGTCAGCACCCTCTGAGGCGGTGTCAGATGGCGGGCGTGGTCACAGACTCCTGTGGCTTCTCTGGCTTCTCTGCAAGGGTGGTCAAGGTCAGGATGGCCCAAGGGTGTGTAGCAGGAAGGGGGCGACGATGGTGGCAGCGATGGCAGGGGGGAGGCCCAGTGTAGGTGCTGAGTCGCTGGTAGGCCCCGCAATGTCCTGCTGCCGGAGTTGGTGTGAGGGCTTGACAAAGGGCTTGGTCGTCCCGGAGCTGGGAGTAGGCTGGAGGGGCAGCGGGGGGCGGCGAGACAGTGGTGCTGGAAGGAGCAAACAGTAACTGTCAGCAGCCTCCTCCCAGGAAGAGAGCTTGGGGTTCAGCTCTATCTTCACCAGGTGTCTTAGGGAAGAGGAAAAGTCTAGAACCCCACAGCCAGCTCAGCTGACCTCCAAGGACAGGCTGGCCCCACCTGTGACCAATCATGAGGGTAGGTCCCAGGCAGAAACGATTGCAAAGTCGTGGAGGAGATAGCTCTGAGGTTCCCAGAGTTCCACCTGTCTGCAGGTGTTCTGCCCCTTGTTGCTCCTTCCAAGGTCGCTGAAGGTGGCAGAACACACACACACACACACACACACACACACACACACACACACACACACGTGCGCACATGTGCGAGCACGCGCCTTAATTTTCACATCATCCTATCTGCCTTGGTTGGAGCTTCCCCCGTGCCAGCTGTTCAAACAAGATCTCCATCGTCACAATAAGCCTTCTGAATGGGTATTACCACCCCCTTTCAGCAAGGGGGGACCTCAAGGACACTACCTGGTAGCCAGGTTCTGGGGCAAAGCAGCTTTGTACACCCACGGGGAGGAGAGGAAAGACTGTTGTCTGTCTCAGAGGAGGCAGGCACGGTGCTCCTAGAGTGTGTATGAAAACAGGGGTGAGCCAGGGGTGGCACATTTTTGCTCACGGAACCCAGTGGGCTTTGTTTCCTGCCATGCTGGCCTTCAACCACATGGGGCTTGTCACGATCTCACCATACTGGGCTGCTTTACCCTCTACCTCATCCCTGTCACATCCACTGTCTTGCTGTTACTGTCTCACTCACCTCTAGAGACTTGTCCCGGTACCTTGAGGAGCGAAGGCTCACATAAAACACTCTCCACTTCCCACTGACCTCACTGTCATCGTGGGACATATGTTATACGAGGGTTGAAGAGCAGGCTTCTACTGAGGAGTCTTAGAACAGTGCCTGGCCCTGGGAGGTGTGTGTTTTGTTTTTTTAAATCGATCCACAGCCAATCACTAGACAGAGCTCCAGGAGTCCAGTCAAGAGAGAGAGGAGGGATTCTATGAGCAAGTGCATCAGGATCATGATGGGGAAACATGCAGGGACAACCAAACCTAACTATTGGGAACTCATGAAAGTTGGATCAATGGCTGTGGAGCCTAGGTGGGACTGGACTAGACCCTCTTCATGGTGAGACAGTTGTGTAGCTTGATCTGCCTGGGAGGCCCCCTGGCGGTAGGATCAGAATCCATCCCTGGTAGAGGGGGCTTTTTGGAGCCCACTACCTATGGTGGGACACCTCCTGCAGCCTTGAGGCAGGGGGAAGGGTTTGGACTTGTCTCTACTGGATGTGCCTCCCCATGGGAGGCCTTCTCTTCTTGTGGGTGGGAATGGGGGTGGGTTGGGAGGGGAGGCTGGGGGTAGGGTGGGAGGAATCTTCGATTGGTGTGTAAAATGAATGAAAGAATTTTCTTAATAAAAAATCATCATTAATATTTTTGTGTCTCTGCCTCTTCCACTAATAACATCTTTCATTTACAATGTACTTCTGAATACAGGCAGTCACCATGCTCAGTGCAATACTTGTGCCATATTACTGTTTCTGTTTCTGTTGAAGGAGATGAGGATTCTTAACTAGATGAGCTGCGCTGGGGCCATCTGTTCTGAAGCATGAACTGTGAGCCTTAGTGAAGTGCACTATTTCCTGGTAAGACCTTGAACATTGATGTGCAGGTTCCAGGGTAAGACTGAGGCCTTGCTGGCTGTAGCCCCTGGAGGGGACTAATGCCTGTGCCTAGTAGAGGTCATTACCTCACCCTCTACCCTCCTTCTCTTGTCTAATGAAAAAGAAAACTGCAAGCAACACACACACACACACACACACACACACACACACACACACACACACACACACACCAGACACACACACCATAAAAGTCTATGCCTAGCTGCTGCTGTGTGTCCCAACCTGGGTAGTTGGGAGGCTCTGAGGGTTAGCTTCAGGGCAGTGGGCTAGATGCCCTGTGAGGTGGCTGGAGCCAGGGCCCAGGCTGTCCTTGGGGGGCAAGACCAAATGGGAATTATGTCTCACAAGGCACCTATAGGCATTTTCTTTCACACTTTGAAAAATAAAGATGAAAACTCTCCCTTGGAGCCCAAGTGGGGTTTTTATTGCTTGGAAAGAGTCCCAGGAAAATGAAGTGGGACTGGGGGGCGGGGATGAGCCCCTCTGAGTACAACCTCCCCCCTTCCTTCCTAGCTTACTCAGCTCACAAAGTTGGTCCCCAGTCCAGGTCCCCACCCCCTCCCAGGCTCATGCTGGGGAAAATTGTCTCATGGCACAACGGTCTAGAGGCCAAACCAAACACACTGCACATTCCCAGGCTCTGCAGATGGCTGGCACTGGGGCCTAAGTCTGCCCTGAGCAGACAGGACAAGTGTGGGAAGGCCCCTCTGGCTGACTGGAAGACAGAGCTCTGTGCAAATCTGGGTTACCTCCTTGGCTTGATCTGTATATTTGGGCCAATACTGTTTTCTAGGCCTCAGTTTCCTGCTCTATACAGAGAAAGGACAAGAATGGAGTTAGGGACTTGTAACTGCTTTCCAGCGGTAAAAGCCGGAAGGAAGTAAGATTACAGGCAGAAATCCAAGGGAAAGTATAGACAAGTGAGGCTAGTTGCCCGGTACTGTCAGTTGCCACCCCTTTCTGGAGGTTTCCTGGAGCAAGGATGAAATCTGGCACTAGAGGTCAGGAGGAGCCCTCCGGGACTCAGTACTGGGCATCACTGACATTAATTTTCTTGCTAATATGAGGAGTTGGTGGTTAACTAGGTGCACAAATGTACTTTTTGCTCTTTGAAAACCAAAGATGACGCCCTCACCTCGCCAAAGCCTAGAGTTTTTTATTGCTTGAGTGGAGTCTCAGAGAAGTGATGGGGGGGGGGTTGGTGAAGAGGACCAGCCTCTAGTTACTTCCTTAGAGACCCTCAGAGAGACGCAGGGGGCACCAGCCTTGGAGAATGCAGGGCCTGGATGACAGGATCCTCCATGTCATTGCTGCGGGAGAACTTGTGATTCTTAACTGGATTCTGGCCTCCTTGGGCCAAGAAGTCAGATGTAGGCAAAGACGCCACTTGCTCAGCTTGCCTGCTGCTTTCTCCTGCCTCCACCCGGTACCTGGAGCCTATCATCAGCCTTCACATCTTGTGCCATGATTCCTTCCCTGGGAATGCCTTTAAATCTCCCCTCAACCTTGCAGACTGTGGGTTAACTGTCTGATGTGTTCTAATCGCTTTATAGTGGGCCAGAGGTGGAAGGAACTTTCCATCCTGAGACAGAAAATGGGCCCATAGATGGGAATTGACAGGGTCTTGTAGAGCTGAGGCTCCAGGGCCTTTTCGGTGACACTATCTTGGGAGCCATATGTCACTGTCTACCACCAGCACTAATCCACAGTAACGGGCGACTGGTGTGTGTCCCACATGTCTTTGCGAAATTGGGGATGGTGTTCCACAGCTCCCACCCATTGGCTCACTGATGGCTTTAAGTCTAAGACACACTGAAGGCCTCAAGAAAGAAGCACCTTGCTAGGGAGATTGATCCCAAGACACCCCAGACCAGAGACTCTGGAAGTAACATCAGCAGCAGCCACTTCAGGGTCGCTGAGGGGCTGATGTTGGCTTTACTGGCATCTCCTTACTGTCAAAGCCCTGTGGGGTGGGATTGCAACACTACTCTGTCTGATTCTTTCAGTGGGTTTTTTTTTCTTTTTTTGATGACTGAATGACTTCATTTTCCAATCCTCATGGGGCACCACCCACTTCAGGTGGGGTTCTGGCCTGGCAAGGACACTTTAGCTACCCTGGACTACCCCACATTGTGAGGAATGAGTGGAATATCTTGAGCAGGATGAGCAGCAGACAGGAGGTGTGCAGATCCCTTCTGTACTGTGTTCCCTCCCATCGTTGAGGGCTTTGACATGTGCACCATGGACGGCCTGTACTTGCCTAGTGGCACTCACTGTATCTGTTACATACTGATGCTCACCTCTGGGCCAGGCTTTGGCCAATGCCCAGCAGCTGGAAGGTATTCTCTTCTCTAGACCTGCGCATCTTCAACGTGCTTCCAACCCAGACCTCCATCTGTCTCCCTCTTACACACACACACACACACACACTGTGTGTGTGTGTGTGTGTGTGTGTGTGTGTGTGTGTGTGTGTGTGTGTGTGTGTGTGTGCTTGCAGACTTGGGGACATGGAGAATGAGAGCTGGCATAGCCTCCAGAAACCAGCCAAAGCCCTAATGGAGCAGGAATCACTTTAGGATTGCCGCAGGCCCATGTTTTATGGGAATGGTCTCTGTCCTGGCTTGCCCTGGTCACACCTTTCCCTGCTGTCTCTCTCTGTGCTCAGAGGGAAGGGATTCCTGAGAACGCTCCGCTGCCATGCATCCGTCTGCGGACACGACACGCTCAGCCCTTTCCACGGGTCCCCATAAATCATCCTGCCACAGGCTGCTGCTACTCTAAACTTCCTCCACTCTGTTTACATCTCGGGGTAATGAGGGGCGAAGGGAGGCCAGCCTACTCCAGGTGGTGTCCCAGCCAGGCACTCACAGCCTGCACCCCTGGTCCCCTCCTCCTCAGACTCGAGCATACAGTCAAAGACCCTTCCCACTTAGTGAGGCCTCGGATGACCTGTGGCCATCCAAATCACAGATCTGTGCCCAGGATTCCCCAGCCTAGAAACAAAAGCAAAGAAATGTAGTGTGGGCGATGGTGCCAAGAAAAAGGGCTCCCACAGGTGGCTAGGGCAGATAGAAGAGCTCAGCCAGGTGAGGATGGGAAGAGCACTTCGGTGGTGGGTGGCGAATATGAACCTTAGGGTTGGATGACAGTTCTGTGTCTCCACCTCTCAGCAAGTTCACTGATCTGGATGACTCTAATTCCTTCCCTGTGAAACAGGTCTGCTTTCTGTGACTCTGTATAGGACTAGGAAGTGATGGGTGTAAGTGCCTGGCACAGTGGGAGCTTCACAAAGGCCCACTTGCATAGAGAAGCAGAGAGAAGCAATAGCATGGGGGGAGGGGCAGCATGGGACAGCCCAGGGTGGCCCATAACCTAGAGAGGACCCAGTGGAGGTGGAAGGCGGAAAAGAAGGGGAGAACCCTGAGGCAGGCAAGACCAGAGACCAGAAGACCCTCAGGGGCCCTGCTGTCGGAGTATAGATGGAAGACGGGCAATCAGAGGTGGAAGTGGAGAGCTAGCTCCAGCTGGATTTCAGAACAAAGTGAGAAGTGGAATAAAACAAATCTCTTTGTCAGAAGGGCTTCAGATGAGCTCCATTCTTGTCCTCTGCTCCTTCTCAGAAAACTGGAGACTTGGGCACTCCGGGAAGGTGGAATGAGTCCTTTGCACAGGGAGCCTTGTGCCCTGTGCTTGGACTTCCCAGGGAGTACAGGGCCCGCTTTCTCAAGAATCAACGAGGAACTTTAATAAACTGCTCTTTGGTGGAACATTCTATTCCAGCCTGAGCAGAGGGAGGTGCATCAGCCAACCACAGTTTTACCTGCTGGGGTGGAGAAAGGCTTCCCTCTGCCAAAGAAAAGCTGCCTTTCCCCCCTGAAGCCAGGGTCTGTATTCCAGACCCTCTGTTGTAAAAAGGAAACTGTCCGGTGTCATTTGTCTGCATTTCCGTTTCAGACACAGTTAGGGGTTGGGGGCTCATTACAGAGCCGGCAGCCTGGCCTCCTGTTACTCCATGAGTTAGACTCCTCGATTGACCAGGACGGTGAGTGACCAGACTATTCAGAGCTCCTAGTAGACTGCTCGTAGCCTGTAAGCTTGCCCACACCCGAAGGATGCAGCTCTTTAAAACTCTAGACTCTTGCACCCAGTGAGTCAGAGTAGCCCTCGCTGGGCACCCAATCTTAGTGGGTCTCAGCCAATAAAGCTACAGTGATGCCTCTGTGGTGGGTGGTAGGGCTGACGTCTCTGCAGAAGTACATTCTCCAGTAGCCCACAGGAGGCGCTGTGGCACCAACACCTAAAGGCTCTGTGGCTTTGATGCCTACCCATTAGAAGTCTTTTCATGATAGTGCATGCCATGCTCTTTGTGATGAGGCCTGGACTACATCAGTCTCTTGTCACTAGCTCAGTCACCTGGCCATAGAAGAGCCAGGAAGTGGAAGGTACTGGTTGGTCAGCTTCTGGGTCCCTGGGTGGCCCCGGACAGGCTCTCTGGCTCTATTATCTTGGTTCATATTCATGAATACACATTGGGCCAGAACTCCCTAGAGCTGCTTGGAACCTCCTGGATCACACACCCCAGGCCTCTTCCCTCTGACTCTCAGGCATGAGGTCTGTGTGGGGCTGAAGATTTACTTACTTAACAAGTACCCAAGGTGATTCTGTTCAGGATGCTGAGGAAAATTCTGGACAACATTAAGATCCCGACTGGAACTCTAGGTTCTGAGGTTCCACTGTCTAAACATCAGATCCAGGAATGGGCTACCACAGTGCGGGAGGACTCCAGTCCGTTCCTGAGACATTCCTTAGTGACACTATTCACTATATGTAGAGATTTCTGCCATGCAGCTGACTCAGGGAGATTGCTCTGGAGAGGAACTGAGTGAGGGGTGTTAGACAGAATCTTGGAGCAACAGGAGCTTTGGCAACAGGCTGAGGCAAGAGGTGTCGGCGACAGGAGGAGCATATGGGAGGAGGGTGGGAGAGTGCCAGAACCTTAGGCTGTGCTCTGTACCTGCCTGTTTACAGAAAGGCTCGCAGTAACACTTTGGAGCTACAGCATCTATTGCCTGGTGTTCCTTTCTCTCACGGGGAGGGGGCCCCTCAGATCTCAGTGCTCACACATTCCCAGCACAGAGATCTGACACCTTACGGCATATCCATCCTGCCATGTTGGCTCCTGCTTTTATCCCCATCCATGGGACAAACGGATCAGGGGCAGGCCAGGCATGGTAGACTTCTGTTCGTGGCACCGGAGGATGCTTCCACGTCTTCCTTTTAATGTTACTAATTAACCGAGTAATTACTGGCTGTCCTGGGGATTGAGGCCAGGGCCTTGTGCATACCAGGCAGGAACTCCATCATGATGCGACATCCTCACACGTCTTTCTACCTTTTATTTTGAGACAGACTCTTACTAATTGCCCAGGCTGGCCTTGAACTTGTTATCCTCTTGTGTCAGCGTTTCAAGCCCCATGCCACTTCTAAACTGCAGAGAATTCTACTTGCTGTTATGCCGAGAATAAACCTCCAAAGTCAGATGTGCACCTGTTCTATACGCCCCAGAAGGTACCCCTGGAGGTCCTCAAGAGTCCGGGAAGGCTGCCTCTAAGCTTCCCCTCTGACCCCTCTGTCCCTGCTTGCTCAGAGCAGGGTCTGTGGCAGTGCGCTAGGCCCCAAGGGAGGCTGACAACTAGCTCCTAGGCAGCCTGTCCCTTCCCAGCTCACCTGTCCTCGATGCGGACCCAGAGGTCGTTGAACTGCCTCGGCCGCTGGTGTTTGTTCAGCCTCTTGCGCCACTTTTGCCGCCCGAACTCCTCCAGCTGGCTAAGGCTGTCGGGGAGCAGGAGGTGTGGGGACAGGACTGGATCTTCCTCCTCAGGAGGGCTGGTGGGGGTTGCTGAGGTTGCTTCTGGGACTGCAGCAGCTGGGGTTGCCGGGGCTGGACTGGCAGCAGAGGTGCCCTCCGGAGAGGGAGCTGGGCTCCCAGCAGCAGGACTGCAAGGTGGAAGAGAATGTGAGTATGCCACATGTGCAAGGGGGGATGCAGAGGGGATGTCATCGAGGAAAGGGAAACGGCACTGCTGGGGCAGGCAGCAGGGACCCAGGGCAAGCACTGTCTGTTACAGTGAGACACAACATGGATTCACTCTTTCATCTTCTAGTCCACGAACTCCCTGCAGCCAGCATTTCCTAGAAAGTAAGTATCAGCAGTGACCCAAACAGATGCCCCCACTGCCGTTCATACCCCACAGTGGGAGACAGAATCAAACACACAGGATGTCACGTGGCCACACTGCTGAGGAGGAGAACATGAGCATATGGCAGAGACAGGTGTGGGAGCACAGGGATGGACAAGGAGGTCTATGCTTATTATTTCATTTTGATCAAGGTTTCATCAGCAGTACCCCTGGCGGAGGAACTCTAGGTGAGTTGTCTAACTTTGCTGTGCCTCAGTCTCCTATAACACGGGGGTATGATGGTCCTGTACCTTCCCGGGGACATTGTGAGTTTATAGGTAAACACAAGTGAAGGGCTTAGAATGGTGCCTGGCAGTGGCAGGCAGCCCAGGCCACTGAGTAGTTTATGCTGTTCGAGCTACGTGTGTGCACTGGATGTCTATGGATCATCTTTTGAATGGAGGCAGGACAGGGGATGTCACTGGAACTCAACCTGAAGACTGATACAGACAGTCCACATCCCACTTGATAACGCATGGCCCAGATTGTTGGATGGGTAGCGCTTGGAAAGGGGATGGAAGAATATTGCTACCCGCTTTGTCAGGATGGTATGGCGGTGAAGGAGCACCACCATTCAGCACAAGGCCTGATACCTACAAAACCTCTCTGACGCGGGTCACCAAGCAAAAGGACCTGACTATGCAGGCCCTCGAGGGTCATTTAGTCATGTGTGTGGAATTCGTGCTCAAAGTAGGGGTATGCCTCCCAGCCTGCAGACACTCTCTCTTTCATTCTTTGCTTTCTGTGCCTCCAAAGGAATTCCTTGGGGACATCTGGCCCCGGAGGGTTAGAAGTGGTTTTAGGAACTGTGTCCAAGCAAACATCTTGCAAGGGAGGTGGTACCCAGGACTGAAAGCAGCCTGTCCTCCCATCCTACCCTCACACTGCAACAGTGAGTGGGTGAGGGGCTTCTCTCTCTTTGAAGAGGAAAAAGCCATTGGCTCAGCTCATCCTCTCCCAGCCCCCATGGCAACTCCAGACTCCCAGGGTCCAGGCTATTGGAGATGCTGCAGCTGTTGAGGAGATAATTCAAAACAGTCAGACAAAAAGATAGCTACAGGAAGCACCTGTGGCCAAGGATGGCTTTTTATTGTCGTTGCCTCCTCAGCTTCCCCACCCCCCTCTGCCCTGCTAGCTCCTTCATCCCCCTGTACGGGAGACTAAGGCTGAGAGTTCTCTGAGCAGAGCTTCCAGCAGAGCCGGTGGGGGCAGAGGAGGGGATCTCCTCCTCTAATGCCTGCGCTCCAAGATGAATAGGAGCCTGCTTGCCTCCCTTGCCCTGCCTGGCCACACACAATGAGCTTCAAGGGAAAGATCCTTGGGGGTGTGGGGAGAAGGGTGAAGTGAGAGAACGGGAGGGAACTAGAGGAATGCCTTGACTCTGAGGCTACCCTGCATCCCTTATTCCTCAAATACACCTGCCCTAGTTCCCTCCAAGACTTCTGGCAGAGCTTGGGGAAAGTGGTGGGAGGCTGGGATGGAGTCCCAACACTGAGGCTCATAACTTCCTATAGAAGTCACAGGGAACTGGGTGTGTGTGGTATGGAGCAGTCCGTGCTCTGGGACCCAAGAAAGCTTCCTCTCCAAAGGTCAAGGTCTCAGTCACTCTGGAGCTCCCTGTGCCTAGAGTAGGTACTGGAAGTAGTCAGGAGCTGAGGGAGGCCACAGAACCAGACTGTCCTACAAATGTGTCCTTCTGCAAGTGAGTTCATGATAGGCTCAGATGCCCCAAGTCAGGAATAATCATAGTTCCTACCTTGCCAGGCTATGGCAATGAGTTAGACACATACAGAGTGAGTGCCACACAGAGTAGCAGCCAATACCACTTGTCTGCTTGTCTGTGACTAAGGAAGCCTCTTTTGGACTTTGGGTCTTGTACCCATAAGGCCAGGGGCTGAAATCACAAAGGGGCCCTCCTTGTGGGTTGGTGAGAAGGTTCCTACATAAAGGCATGCATGGATCTCTGAGTTTGAGGAGCCTGACCCTTTCCAGGAGATCTCGAGTCTGGTTATTGCCCGATGCTGGGGCTATAGATCCTGAGACAGGCAGAGCTGGGCCCTGCCCCGGGGAAATTTCCAGGGTGGTGATAGGTGGGGTGGTCTAGACTAGGAACCCACATGGGAAGAGGTTGGGAGAGGGGCTCTGTGGGCAAAGTGAGAGTGTCCTGGCAGGAGAGTGGGAAGCTAGGAGCACAGACTGAGGAGGCAATGGAGCAGATACAGGCAGGAAGTAGAGGATCATCAGTGGGTGGGACAGCAAGAGGGCCGTGCAGTGGAGATGGACACAGGGAAGAAAACAAACTGAAGCCTCTTCTTCCCAAGGCACCATCTTCCATGGCTGTCCATCGGCTTTCAGCATGACTGAGGTCACTTATGCCCCTGCCCAATCTACTTGTATCTGAACCCCAAGAATCTTGCAAGTCCTCATTCTGCCCCCCTTCCCACTGCACCAGGCGATTCCCAACAATACTGCATACCAGCCTACTCACCCCATCTGTCACCTTCCAGTCACAATGCTTGGTCCGGCCTATTCCCAAGAGAGACTTCATCTCACAGCACTCTGCTTCACAACGCTCCCTGAGGCCTGACCAGGTCACAGGGGCAGTGACCACAGCGTGTGGTGAGGCAGCAGTCAGCCGGCCAGCTCCAAGATGCCACCATATACCCTGATGCTTACCTGTGGATGGCTTGCCCAGCAGGTGTGTGGTCCACCTCCAGCCCTGCCTGTCTTAGGACATCGATGACAGTGTTGTTCCCCAGAAAGTGACCTGGAACAGAAGATGCAACGTGGTCTCAGCCACATGCCAGGTTGTCATCCAGTGGATATATGACCATCCCTTGGGTTTGTGTCTGGGCTAATGAATTATACCAGTGGAGGCTCCCCCAAGGGTCTCCTGGATGGGTATTGGGACAAGGAATGCATATATGTTAGCAACAGGGTTCCTTCAAATCCAGGTAGTGTGTCCCAGCAGGGAGATATAAACCTGGTCCACCCAGCCTGTATTCACACCTCAGCTCTGCTCACAGGCTGCATCTCTGCATGCTCCAGTTTCTTCACCTGTCAAGTGGGAGTAATTGCAATCACCTTCTCCAATCTGTGAGGACTCCAGAGATCAGAGGCTGGTGTGCAGCAGCCTACTGCATCACTGTGCCTAACGCCTCTAAGCTGACCCTAGGGCCAGTCCACCTAGGGTGGGTAGCCTACAGCAGTCATGAAAGGCCTAGCTCTAAGAAACCCCTCAGCTCCACAGGTCTATGGCTCCTCTTTGTAAACTCCATCAGCAACTCATGCCTCCTTTCCTTAGTGCCCGAAGAGCCCTCCAGGGGGCAGAGACCACCTTGTCACAGCCTTACACATAGTCTTGCACATGCTCAGCATGCTGGTTGGGTCTAAGCATTTAGATTCATTTCTTCACCATCTACCCCACGATGGCCTAGGTACTGAGAAGCCGTAAAACCCTCCTGAATCCAGGACTCCAATGGACAGTGACCTAAAGGAGGTGCAAACAAAATGACTCTCCTAACATGGCCTTCAGAATGTGTGTGTGTGTGTGTGTGTGTGTGTGTGTGTGTGTGTGTGTGTGTGTTCCATCTCTCACCTCCCACCCACTATTGATTCTCTCAGCAAGCATTTATGGTGCACCTGCTCTGTATGAGATACCATAAATACACAGACAGAGAATTTAGTCCAGGGCCCAGAAGAAGGGAGTGGCTTCCCTTTACCAGCACACAGGTAAGATGTCTGCACCTCTTCCAGCTCTGGTTAGGGAGAGTCCAGGGGAGGCCAAATGATTGTGGACATAGGACAGCCTGGGTTAGGCCCTGCCCTCTTCCCAAGCCTTGCCTTCTGTCCTGGCCTCAGTCTCCCCACGTTTGCTGTATGAGCAGTTTGGGTTGGCCTATGCTTCCTGAGTGCTCCAGCATCTCCCCATGCTGAGTCTGCCTCATGGCTCCACATGCAACACTGCCTTTCTGCTTACATTTAGCTCAGAACCTGGGCATGGAAGGCAGGGAGTTTAATCACTGTCCCCTGACTCTGATTGCCTGTGACAAGTGGTGACAGGTAAGAAGCAGGAGGGTCAGCATGCTGACAGCCCCAGGGAGGTCGAGAACACAGTGGACAAACCGGCAGGCATAGACAAGCTCCTGACACCGAGGGAGTCTGCAGGGCCTGTGCAGTGGCTGGAGCAGAGGGGCCAGGCTCAGCTGGACACACCTCCCCAAGTCCAGCCGTGTCTCCCTAGCTGGTCAGTCAGAGTAGCTGTGGTTCCACCCGGAGATCACTGGAATGATTACCACACAGGGAAGGCTGCTATTCCAGAATCTGCTACTCTTCCTCTGAACCCCTGGGCACACAGGGGACCTCCCAGTGTCTGTCTTCTCTAGGTCAGAGGGTGAGGTTGGAGTGCGGGATGAACATGGCTCATTTCATGGTCCATGGGGGAGAGTTTTGTTTCATTAAAAAACCCCATAAAAAGGTACTCCTCTTTCTCTATCCTTCCCTCCCTCCTCCTTTCCCTTCCTCTTTTTTTGTTTTTTACTTTCCTCCCCCTTTCCCCTTCCTTTTCTCCTTGATTCTCTCCTCTTCTCATATACTTATGTGATTGGTTTAACTGAGCATTGACTATTGCATATTCCATGACATAAGTATATGACTCTGGTCTGTATTGAGTTAACAGAGACTAACCAGCACACAGGCTGAGGGAGAGAGAGACACAGGCTTGTCCTCAGCATGCAAGGTCAAGGCCAGATTCTGGGGGACCTGATCACGCCTGTGCTTCTGTGTCAAGATCCTGCTGGCTTCATTCCTCTCCCAGTCTTTGCAAACGCTGCCCTCCACCTGGAGCCCCTCCTCACCTAGCAGTACCACCTTCTCCAGGAAGCCTTCCCTGTCACCACACTAATGTGGATGCCTCACACATGTGCACGACTTCCTATGATGTCTTGTGCATCGTAGGTCATTCCCAGATGCCAAAAGCCAGATTCTGAGGCAGAGAGGGGCTCCCGGTGGAGCGATGAGAATCCTTCATGCCCAGCCAGTATTCCTGACATTCCCCCTTTCTGATGTTTGGTCTCATGAGACCCACAGCTGCAACTTCATAGTGTCCAAGCCCCCCTTCTGGCCTGTGCGTTTTTCACCATGCTCTTACTCTTCTGGTGACGCTCTTGGTGGGCTTTCTCCTGCCCAGTCCAAGCATGAGCCTTGGAAACTTGCTCTTGGCCTCTTTCCTCTTCATCCTGTTCACACCTCAGCCACCAACCTCATCTCTGGTAAGTTCGGTGACCCACAGTATTGATGACTCTGGAACTGCCCTCTACTTCAGACATAGTGGTGCCCAGTGGCCCATGGACATTTCCACCCAACCCTTCCATGGGGCCCACCAACCCTGCTTGCCCTCTCTCCACGCTGGCACTCTGCCTCTACTGGACATTGCTAATCAAACTACACTGGCCCTCATCCTTCCACAGCCAACAGAGACCCCCTGGATGTCACCTCTCAAATACACCGGACTGCCCAGCCACTACCACCTGCAGCGGAACTCCAGAGATCACTGTTCTTTAGTCCCTTCCCATTGCAGCTAACCTGACCTGCCCACAGCCCAGAGCTGACTCTGTTGGAACATGCTCTCTAAGAGCCACCTGATGGGGGTGGGGGTGGGATATAAGCTTTTTGAGGGTGGGACCATGCCTGATTCATCTTTGTCCCCAGAGTTAAGCCCAAATCTGGCGCACCACCGTGGCTCCGTGAATGTTTGTTGAATGAATGAGTGACACAGCCTGTTACTCCACATCCTTTCCATGATCTCATCCTGTCCCCAGGAGACCCGAGTTTCCCCTATCCTTGTAGCCCAGCCCTAGCCCTTGGTGATTCTCCCCAAGATCCCACCAATCCTAGGAGCTTGGCCCCTATGCAGGCCAGAGCCAGGGTCCAGTGTATGCTGTCCCTAGGGGTTGGCAGACAGGGCTTAGGCTTGTCTCCAAAGTTGGAAATTCTGGACAAGGCACCACCCCCATGCTGGAACCTGCAGGCAAGGTGGTGGAAGGTTTCCAAAGGGGCCCCACAATGTTGGGGCTCAGCCTGCTTGGCCTGCCCAGCCTCCCTGGGGCTCCTGGCCACCACTCAGCATCTCCCTCCAGCATCAGCTTCCAGCTGTTCTCTGGCCAGCTCTCTCTGCAGGAAGACACGTTCCATTTCGCTTGCTGAGTCCAGAGAGGACAGCAGAAGAGGAAGGAGAGGGTGGGGCACAGGGAGCCAAGGAGACAGGAGGGAAGCAGGAAGAAAAGCAGAGGGGCTATCACAGGGTAGAGGTAGGGGTGAGTGGGGAGAGAACTCCAGGACCTGGGAAGCAAAAGAAGACAGAGAAGAGGAGCCGGAGACCAGCCGTAGGAAATGCAGCTTCAGAGAGAGAAGAGGGAAGGGGAGAGGGTGGTGGTGGTGGGGACTAACAGGACAGAGATGGAATGACTTCCACAGAGAAAAGGAAGAGGACAAAACGAGGAAGAGGAAAGAGGATCAGAGTTGGAAGCAAAGGGCACACTGGGGAGACAGCCCCGGGATGGGTGATACTAGATGGACATCAGGGGGATCCAGGTTCAGGGAGTGCAGAGCTTCAACACTGAGGGGCAGGGCTGGCCTTGTCTCCCTGAGAAAAACCAGGGGTCACTTACAGATATACACACACACACACACACACACACACACACACACACACACACCACACCACACCACACCACACCACACCACACCACACCACACAGGAAAGGGGCAGTGAGATGTTTCAGAGCTGAGAAAAGGTTTCTTTTTTCTGGGTGCATGATGGGCTGCGCCAGTGCAAAAGGCTTGGGGAGCCAAGAGCACAGTCCGGCAGCCCGACCTGACCCTCCAGCATGGGTAAGTAGGGCAGGGCAGAGCTTGGACACAAAACTCCACTCACCAATGAACCCTGCGGCCTTGAGTAGTTCCCTTTCTCTCTTTGTGTCTCAACTTCCCCACGTGGGGTTGTACCACTGGCCTCCTGGGCCTCCCTCCACCAGGTGGTGACCTGAACACATGGAGCAAGCCTCCAAACCATCCTCGAAGTAGCCCTTGAAGGTGCTCCCACTTTACAGATGAGGAAACTGAGGCTCAGTGAGGGGAACAGGACTTGCCCAAGGTCACACAGCTGGGAAGAGGCAAGGCTTTTTGGGCTCCCTCCCAGAACTGCCCCAGTTCACAGCAAGCTCTGTCACGCCCACTCTGAAGCACTTGGCAGCTGCAGAGATGCCAAGATCATGGTTGGGGGCAGGAAATGGTCAGAAATGTGTGTACCTTCCAAGGTTCAGCAGATTGGAGAGGAAAGTGTGTCAAGTGCTCAGCATGAACAATGCGCCAATTAACAGGGCAATTTCAAGACTGCAGTGGGGGCTGGGTGGCGGAGGAGGAGAGAACCAGATGTTCCCCCGCACAGGCTCCAGAGTAACTCGGATGCCTTCGGCCAGCACACATGTTTTCTCTCCAGTGAGCACGCGGGTTTCCAGTTTTCTCCTCCTGGAAGAGGCATCCCAAGTCCGTATTTATGTTCCGTCTGAAATTAATGCAAGGGAAACTTTCAAATGCGAATCTCACTGCCAGGGCCTCCGGCCGGATATCAAGCCGGAGCTGTGTTTGTTTTCCCTAGGAAGTGTGACAGGAGGGATGGATAATGAGGGGCACCAGGGCTTCTCGTCTATCCAGGACCGTGCGGAGGGGAACTGGCTGACCTGGGCCTCCTCTCCTGCTCTGCAGTCC